CACAGCCTTGTGCTTTCTCAGAGTGTCACTCACAAATGCCAATCAAGACATTCTGGGCTGGAACAGACTACCACATGGAGGGACAAGCTCACGCTGAGCAATGAGCCCTGTAGGCAGCTGTGGGTCAGGAGACATGACAAAGCCGGGGCTGGGAGATAGCACTGGCCTCTGCTATGGATGTAATATGCACCCATGAATGTGGCTGTGGTTTCGTTCTGTGGAGATAATTTTAAGTGGGAAGCAACTGGTCTATCGGTGCAGTAAGACAGAGGGCTATGCATGGCTTCAGCATCAGAGATGGAGGAACTGATGATATGACGTATGTATTCTGCAGTCTATGGGCACAGGCTTTGTGAAATCTCCTTTCTCCCCTTATTCTAAAATCAAACAAAACAAAAGAGCCAAAAATCAAGTATCCTCCTGCAAGTGGATCCACATCACAGCAGATCTCTGAGTTTAGATAACCAAGTAGCTCACTAATGGTTGCTTTTTATAGAAAAAAAGAAAGCTTGGTGGAATTTGAGTAGCCCTAGGATGACTTGCTTTTTCATTAAATTGGCAGCTTGGACGACCCATCTCCTTCTCCGGCCTCCCAGGCGGCTCCTAGTGGGTGTCAGCCACCCAGAAACGTGTGTTCCTTACTTTCTGGAGCTGGAACAGGTAGCAGGAATCAGAAAGGGCAAGAGAAGCTGAGATATTAAGCTTGAAAGTAATTTCAAAACTATTCAACATTAACTTGGATATAGGATGGGTTAGAATGCTAATCTGGAATACATTTTTAATTTAAAAGTGGAGACTTTAGAGGAATTTCAGGTGCTTTGGAATACCCCAGGCCCTTCACCCCAGAGGTGGATATGCGATGCTCTCCTGCCTTTCTGCTGATCCTGATTAATGCTCTAGTTCTTCCTCAAGACTCTCAGGGAGCTCATCACTGGCTGATCCCAAGTTGGGGCACTGTCAAAATGGGTCACAAAATCTCAAATTCTGTGTCTTGAATGAGACGCAGGAGAAACAGAGAAAGCAGAACAATGCCACATTGAAGGTGTGTAATTCATAGCTCTCAGTGATAGACGTTTGAGTATCTCCATCACTGTCATTGATATGGAGCTTTAAGGAGTTAGAATTACACAGACATTTCCACCAGCAACCATCCAGAGCTCCTGAATGAGGCTGGGCACTGGGTATCGCTGCTTACTTACACGCCTTAGTTATGTGCTGTCCACAGAGGACTTGTCTTATTTGGCGAAGTGCTCAAACAGAGCTGGTTAGCCCACGGAGTTCCTTGTTATCTCCTCTGTTCAAGCTCTCCCACCCCTTTACCTCTTCAGAATTATAAGGCACATTTCCCTCAGTCAGGTGAATTAGTATCATTCTGGGTCCATATTAAATGGTAATACTCATCCCTCATTTTTAGTTCTGTAAGGTAAAAACTCACAGGAAAAATCTGACAGTGTGTTGCAGACTCTGAGGCAAGCCTTTGACACGGGAAGGGTGGGTCTTTGAAACAAAAACATCTTCCAGCAATATCAACGCTCATCACCATCACCATCAGTGGGAAGAGCGCCTGGGGTCCCCAGCCACATTGGCTGAGGGCTTTGGGAGACATCATAGGAAGGAACAAGAATCGTTATTAATTGGTTCAGTAAAGCATCCTGTCCTCACAGAAAGATGGACGATGTTGTAAATGCCGAAGAAGGAGGAGATATGTTGTTCTGGACCTTCTAAATACCAGAAACCTCTGAGCTTCCTTCATCATGAGGACTTACCAGAATCTCATGAACGCAGATAATGATAGGTATTGTGGCATCGCTGGCCTCCATTTAATGAATTGTTCATGGCATATCCTCTCAAAGTGGTCTTTTTATCTCCTTTAGAGTAGGCTTTCCACATTCGTCAAACTGTAAGAGTATCTCTGATGCCATTTTCTAAATTATCCATTAATCTGGAGATTTTCTAGTGCATACTTCTCCTGTTTCCTTTGCTGACCCCACTGGCAAAAACTTCCCTATTGACTTGTACCATCCTGTTGGCCGGTCCATGATCAATGTCACGTGTGGTTCTGAGAAGGTCCCTGAAACATGGGTCACGGTGAACTCACATACAGGACAAAAGTGCCGTCCAACTGTGTATTCAGAAGATGGCCTGGCATTGCCTTGTGAGCTGAAATGCCCTCTCGGACTCGCCCTTGAAATATAAGCCTACAAACAAAGCTGATGCTGTCCCTGAAAAGACACATCTTCAATGAGCCTCTGTCTTCAGGGAAGCAGATAAGGTGAGACTTTTTGTTACAGCCAGTACTGGGGCCCTTCTGATTATTCGGGGGTGCACCTGCTGTTATTCATGTATCCAACAGATGTTTATCGAGCACATCCTTACTTACCCAATGACAGGCATGGTTATAGGCACTGTGGATATCAGAGTGGTACTTGGTTCAGACCTGCTCTGTCCTCGATTCGAGAGTATCTATTGTCTGCATCATAGGAAAGGAGACGGCAGTCAACAGAGCCCCAGCTGATTCATCCAGGGGGGATACTCTCCACCTCTGCAGAGTGAGAGGGCTGCTCAGTCTTCAGCAGAAGCTTGGGGTAGGTCTGCTGACAGTGCTCGGGGCCAACATGGGGGCCAATCCAGAGGCCAAGGTGGGCACCAAGGACACTCCCACTGCCACAGCCAAGCACACATTCCAGAAAGAAGACCAGGACAAGAGCCAGGAAGCCAGGAGTGGAAAGGGAGGGCAAGGATGCAAAGACCAGAAATAAGTCGGAAAAGGGACAGGACCAAGCTCATCTTCAGTGACACAGATGAGCTCAATCAGGAACGGATGTGCTGCATGGCACTCCTGTGAGCCAGCTCCCTCTGTGAAGGGGGCCTCTGGCTTGGAATTTAGGAATGTTCCAGCTCAAGGCACTGCCCCAGAGCAGGGGGCTTTTGTTTTTCTAAGGATCCTAGTGTTCTGTCGGAAAGAGTGTGTCAGCATCGACACAAGGCAAAGGATGGGGAAACCCCTAGCAGGTGTTTGATGGGAAAAATCTCTTGAATCTTAGAGAACAAAGAACACATTGGCATGAGTCCCAGAGTTACATCAAACATACACTGAGGCTGGAGAAATCAGGAGGGAGGTGAAGACTCTTGCTCTTAGGAGTCTCTCATTTGGGGTTAGTTTTCAACTGACATTGAGAAAATGTGTTAATTTCAAGATATTGTGTTACTCTGCCAGTAACAGTCATCATTGGGTGGAGGAATGCTTCTTCATTCTGGGGTGTGGAAATGTCAGAACCCTACAGTGAGGAGGAGGAAGATGGGGAGGCAGGTCCCTGAGGCTTCTCGGGTCAGCCCTCTCTAGCTGTAAGGTTCTTATAAAGACAAAACTAGAAGACACACAAAAGACCTTGAAGGAAACGAAAGGACTCTGAAAGTAAACACTCCTTTTCTTCAACCAAGGAATAACTCTACTGCTGCTCAGTTGTAAGCAGAGATCGTGTGTCTGTCTCTGGTCCCCAGAAGTCATTCTCTCTCCATCAGAAGCTCGCTAATCTAATTTCCTCTTTTTCTTTGGATGTGTAGCATATTCAGGAGCTTCAAATTTAATAAAGGGAAATTCAGCAGCATTGTCAGCTGTGCATAAAAATCAGTAACACCGCATTTATGTAGGGATTTGACATGGGCTCTCTGGGTATAGTAGAGAAATATTAAAGCACGTTTGCTTGATGACTTTGAGAATTGATTGGGAAATTAACTCCTGATTTCATTCTCATCCTTGCTAAGGAATCATAAACTTTCCTTAATACCATTATGCATTTTTGCAACTCTACTCCTCTCAGCTTGATTACAGATTATTAGGGCTTCATGGTGTGGAGGATGATGGAAATTAAATTATGTGAGGAGAACGCACTCCCGTGGTGTTTCTGAAAGTGTTTTTATTGGTAAGGAATGTGCACACACTGAGGTGCACACTGTACTTGACACTGAGCCTCTAATGGAGGAGTAAGTGGCCATGCACTGAGAACACAAGCCATCTTTCTGGAGCCACACATCTATGAAAATATTTAAGGCGTTTATTTTATGTTAAAAGAAATACAGATAATTTATGGAGGATTATGCCACACGCTTATAGAAAAAATTTAAAGGCTGGTGGGTCCAGAAATAAACCTAGTGCGTGATGTAGAATGTTTTGCCATTAAGATGTGAGATGGAGAATATCATAATGATTACATTTTTTTTCAAGCAGGGGATAAATATTCATTATAAGTATATGGAAGTAATTTGATGGCAAGAAACCTTTTATAAACCTGAGGAGGGGCTTGAGGAACATTCTTCCAATGTTCCCAACCTCAGGGCGGGATACGATCACAGTTGTATCTTTTCTTGAAAGTCAATCTCTTCATAGAACAGAGAGTTGCCAGTTGACAATACTCCCTCCACACAAGGGTAGTTGAGGAAATCTCCCCTAAGAAGTTTAACGCTATAACTTGTGAATCTTCTCTGGTATTTTTGTGTAGGTTGATTCATTTGTTTTGCACTCGGGGGGGCACTTTGCCTGGGGGGCACATTTGGCAGTGTCTGGAGACATCTTTTGTTGTCATGACTTGGGGTGGGTGGTTGTGTCTGGCATCTAGTGGGTAGGGGCCAGGGATCTGCTAAGAATCCTAAAATGCCCAGGACGGTCCCTCCACTGCCCAATGCAATAGAAACTCATTCAGTCCGAAGTATTAACAATACTGAGGAAGAGAAACCCTAGGTTATACTTATCAATGCAGTCCAGAAGGGAACACAAATCACCTCTCTAAACCATTTCCTATCCCCTAATGTATATGATGATACCGATTCTACATAATCTATAACGAAGACACCCACCAGCTTCCTGCACCATCGTTTTAAAGAAACCCACATGCAATGATTGCCGATGACAAGGATATTGCTCATCGACATTTACTCAACACACACTCATGTTATCAATGTCCCGCGACAGAACCAAGGAGAAGGAAAAGGACGCAGGTTACCTCTCAAATAAGACCTGGCTATAGTCGTCTAGGACGTGGGCGTGAGTGTGCAGAAGGATGGTGTTGTAACCCACCAATGCCACCATCATGATCAACATCTTCAACTCGTAGTTCACCCTCAGGAAAACCGAGCAGGAAATCAGTCCCAGAATGCAGCTGTAGATAAAGTACTGGAACAGGGAAAAAGATCAGATGAATTACTCAGGATCTCCTCTGAGAAATGCTGGAGTAAGCATGAAAATTGGGGATCACCACCAAGTTCACTCAGGTAGCTTATGAACTGGCTGTTCATCATTTGCTTCTGGAAAGTGCAAACAATAGGACTCTGTACACCTTTAGAGACTTAAAAAGTTGTAGTACATAGAATCTCTTTTGGCCTTGCAATTCTTTATTTATTAAGAGAATATACATCATTGCAGGAGTTAAAAGCACAAGAAACCCTAGATGTTTGATTAAAAGAGAAACAGTGGGTCTAAAGCAGGAAGGATTTAACAAACTAAAAGCTTTGGCCAGGGTGAGTCACGAATTCCCTGGAAGCGGACAGGCACCCGAAGAAATGGAAAGAATCAGGTGTGAGGAAGAAAGCACATTCCATCCTGTGTGGCCCCAGGAAGCCACGCCGCTCCTGCACGAGGGTGCGCGTTTCTCACTATTTACCATAATGGATATTGTCCAGAAGGGAGAGCCCTGAGGCAACCTTGCTTGGCTCACTCATTCGTGGGGTTACTTTGGGCCAGTGACCTAACCTGGCTGTGACACGGTGTCTTCAGCTATAACATGAGGGGAAGAATGTCCTCCTTTTAAGTCACTGAACAGAGCGAGCAGAGCTTGGACCCCAGAGCCCTGCCAGCCAGGAGTGACTTGCTGAATGAAAGGTCACCAGTCGCACGAGAGCTTTATCTGCTCTACCCCGCCGTTTTTATGAACCAAGGTTAGCTATCAGCATTCCTAGAAGGGAAGCAGCACTCAATAAAGTCTAATAATTTTAATAAAGCATAGATCTAATGATGTTTGATAAACGTGCCTTTATAAAAGAGCCCAGTTTGTAAGGCACTCAATTTTCGTGTCATTATGTGGAATAAGCCATGTACGAGCTGCTTATTCTTGTCACTTGAGCTCTTTTATTTCCCCGGCTAAGGCCGTCCAGAGTCAGCTCTCTAGAAGGCCAGTGATATTAGCTCATCCATCCTGTTCCTGGGGAAGAAAGGAAGGCGAGGAGTGAGCTGCCCTGGTCACACCAAGCACTTCCTTCTCCGCGAGAGGGGCGCTCGGTGTCAGCCCAGATGTTGTACTCGCAAGGACTTGGACCTGGCATGTCAGCTTCACCAGGAAGACCAGCGGTTGTCCCTGATCACACGGCAACTGGGTCAGCCTTTAGGAGGTGAAGCTTTCCCCAGGTGGCTGCATTTACTGGGCCCTGAGGGTTCTAAGCATCCTTTCTCTGGCCCAAATTACCTTCCCAATGTCAGTTCTCCCCGATGCTGACACCACTCCCCCTACAACAGAGAAGAAGAGGAGGAAAAGAGGGAAGAGATGTGTCCGGATGGGGCTGTTCAGGCTGGCCGAGAGGAAAGACAGAATCGGGACACCCGTGAGAGCAGGTGGGAGCAATGGCTCAGTCTCCCCCGAAGCAGGAGGCCAGGGAGGAGGCGCAGGCTCTGAAGCCAGTCCTTATTTCCACGGAGTTCGGCCACTGTTACCTTCAGAGGGCAGGCTTGAGGGCTCATGGCAGGATGCGCACCAGGCCTGGGGACAGCCACTGGACGCGGACCAGGCAGCTCTGCCGAGGGCCTGGGGAGGTCCCCTCAGGGCAGGGAATGTGCTCAGCAGCCTGACAGGGAGGCTCGTTCCTACTAAATCTGGTAAGATACAGGCTTCTACTTCTCACATCTTTTTTTAGTTCATTTTTCTGCTAACTCATTATTATATTTTTCTAAAGCATCACTCCAAGACAGATTGGAAATTAAAAAAAAAAAAAAAAGAAACAAAATGAAAAGAGGGCCTTCCTCATGAAGAGTCTGAAGGGCCCTGATTTACAACCTAGCAGTCTTTCAGTCAGTAATCAAGGGTATTCTAGAACCTCTCCTTAAAAGCCAAGAAATTGCCCTGGGAGCCGGCGGGGGGGGAGTGGGGGAGGCTCTCAGTTCCGACAGGATGCTGCTACTAAAATAATGCTGAAAACCATAGAATGAACATTATCAACAAGGTCAGCCTAATGGAAGAAGCAGAGTCAGGAACCACGGTGTGTATCAACGTAGGCATGGGGGGGCGGTGCAGATAGGACCGTAAACGTTTTCTTTAACATCCGTCATAGAAGATAGGTGCCAATACCTATGCAAATATGCCTATGGTTTCACTTTTTTTTTTTTAAAGATTTTATTTATTTTTTAGAGAGCGAGCGAGAGAGAAACAGCATGAGAGGGGAGAGGGTCAGAGGGAGAAGCAGGCTCCCCGCTGAGCCGGGAGCCCGACGTGGGACTCGATCCCAGGACCCTGGGATCATGACCTGAGCCGAAGGCAGACGCTTAACCATCTGAGCCACCCAGGCGCCCCCTATGGTTTCACTTTTTAAAATCCATTCTTAGGCTTTTGAAAAGTTTCCACATTTCAGGAATATTGACTAGAATATATACATTAACGGAAAGTAGCATTTAGTCCATTCTTTATTAAATGGCCTTTCTGGAACACTTGGAGGCCGAGCACAAGGTGGTCTGGGGACTGATTAAAGGGAGGGGGCAGCCTGCAGACAGCGACAGAGGGATGTGTGAACGAGGGGGGAGAGCTGAGAAGGCCAGGCCAGGGGTTCTGAAGATCAGCTGTTCTCAGTGATACAGCACCTGCGAGGGAGGGCTCAGGTGGGCAAGAGTTCCGGCAGCAGGCTCCCGAACTGACTTCTATTAGGGTGTAATGACTGGTGACCTATTTCTATATAATTTTGATATAGTTGATATATTAGTTAATGGTTGCATTATTTATTAACATTTAAAATTTTTAATATTATTTTAATTACTAAACAGTTGTTAATATTAATCTTAAATTAATGAAGTTAACATTAGTTAATATGGTTACTAACACGTTTGATACATCTGATCGATGAAATCAACTTGCGTTTTAATGCCAAAGGAACAACCACTATTATCCTGGGTAATTTCCTTAAGTTTCTTTTGGCCTCAGTGCCCTCACCAGGAAAACGGGAATTCCAGGAACAGTGAACTCACAGGGCAGGTTTTCGGATGAAATGATACGAACTGCTGACGTGGCAAAAATCAAGGAAATACAGGGAATATTAGGGAATACAAGGAATATTAGGGAATATACAGGGACGTCTGGGTGGCTCAGCCAATGAAGCCTCTGCCTTCGGCTCAGTTCATGATCTTGGGGTCCTGGGACTGAGCCCCAGGTTGAGCCCGGCATTGAGCCCTGAGCCATGGGTCTCCCTCTGCCCTGCCCCTGCTCCTGTGTGCGCGTTCTCTCTCTCTCAAATATAATCTTCTAAAAAATTAGGGAATATACGAAGGACACATATAAAAATAAGGGTCTCCTATAATCTCCAACAACCAACTTGAGCAACTACTGATTATTTTGGGTATATCTTTCCAGCCTTTGTTTTTTTGTGGTGTGCTACTTATTACTGGTGTTAGTATTTTAGAGAATTGGGGACATATTTTGGAATGTTTTTAAGTGATGCTTCTCAATTAATAACTGATTGTGAATATATATTTCTATGTCATTAAACATTTTGCCCCAACATCTTTTGTAACGGCTGGCTATAACTAAATAGCAGAATTTATTTATTTATTTATTTTTCTTCTTTTTTAAAATTTATTGTTATGTTAATCACCATACATTACATCTTTAGTTTTTGATGTAGTGTTCCATGATTCATTGTTTGTGAGCAGAATTTATTTAAACAACTAAATGTATTCTAGTTTTTAGGTTGTTGGTTTCCTTTTACTTTCTTGTTGGTTCTCAATGTTGGATGAACACCTTTGTAGCTAAGTGTTTGCACGTGCAAGATTCATTTCTGAAATGAGTATTGTGGGGTAACAAGTTTGTCTATTTTTATGCTTTTCGGTGGCTATTACAGATTACCACAGGAAGAATTCTATCACTTCATAGCCCACCACCTTGTCAGCCTCAGATACCACGGATGATGGGGTCAGTTTTGGACATCCACAAATGGCTTTCCTGATGTTCCCTTGGATCAGTGAAGGGGGAAGCCAGGATGTTTCCAGCACATTAATAATGCAGTTTCTGTGCAGACAGCACTGGGGCATGTGGGGCTTCCTTGGCAAAGCTCATCATAATCCTCTTCCCGAGACTTATTACTGGGACAATACTGGCTTGTGGATGAAGTCCGACCTAGATTTTAAAGAGTCTACTGTGTATTTTTTCAGAATCTTTTAGGATTGAATAAATGTTACTTTTCCCCATCTTGGGTTTCTAATGATTTGCTTCTTTTAAAAATAAGATGTCATACGGACTTACCTCAATGAGATTCAGAGGGATGAACTTACAGCTTTTACTGATGCCAAGCATAGTGGGCTGTTCCATCCGAAAACACTGGATGGAGAGATTTTTTAAAAAATGCTTTGCCAACTATCCTTTCCTATGAGAATGCTTATTCACTGTAAACCCCTGAAAGTGCCTTGTGAACACTCCCTGGGACGCTCTCTCCCTCTGCGGGCCTGCGCACCCCCATGCGGGCCAGTGCCCTGTGTTCAAGGACGAAGGGCTGGACCACAGTTCCTTTCTCTACAGAAGGTGGCCCCAAATTGCCCACAGTGAGATCACAGCCAATAAACCCTTAACGTGCATCCTGGCTCTCACTTTTCACATCACTGAAACAGAAAAGATGCTGTCTGACACTCACGCGGGTTTCCGATGATGCCTAAATGAGGGCCAGGACCCCCAGGACAAGGGATGAAGCTTATGCCAGCCTCTTCCCGTGCCCGTGGGGACATCATTAGGGACCTTGGTCCGCTTCCCTCGGAAGCCTCAAAAACACACCTCTGCACACAGAGCTGGGAGCTTCCTGGGAAACTGAAGACAGATGGGGAAAGGATCAAAGCCAAACAGCAAGGGAACAAATCAGTGAAAGAAGAACGAGGAAGGAAATCTCCTTTATCACCATAGCTAATGGAGTTTAAAAAGCTGGTAAGGAATTTTAAAAGTATACATACCAAATTACCAATTTCAATCCCCAAAATGGTTCCTTTAGCACTCTCAAAACAGACTATATGACATAGAAACTGGATGGGAATAATCTAAGCTACTCTAGAGGATTATGCAGGAAAGGAGAGTATCAGAGCTTTTTTTTTTTGCACAAATGATTCATGAAATGAAGTTACTAAATAGTAAATAATAATAGTAAATAAGTAAAAGGGAGTTAACCCTTTTCACTTAAAAAACTGACATGTTAGCAAATTGTGAAATTTCAATCTCGGTCCTTCTGGACACTGGTTAAAATGAGTCAGTTGGCAAGGATTACGGCAGGATATTATCAGTGGGCAGTGTTTGCAGCCAAAGGAGAGACAGAAATACTCGATGTGGTCCCCCCATCATCAGTCAGGAAATCCAACACTCATCCCCTGGGACAATGAGCAAAACCTCTAAGCAACGGATCCAGAACATCAGTGACCTACAATCGAACGTCAGATGCTGAGATACATGGTATAAAATGTAGCAGTAGGAGAAGCAAAGCAAGAGACATCTGGGAGAGCATGACCATGACACTGGACGTGTGCATGTGTGTCACTGGTGTCCGCCAGCCAGGCAGGGCTGCTCTGACTGAAGGCTGGCAGTTTGTAGCTGGTCCAGGCTTACTCAGGTATCGACACCAAAAAGGAAAAAGTGAAGTCAAGAGCAGATCAGAACCTGGAGGCTGTCACATGGAATGGGAGAACAGCTCACAGGAAAACAACAAAAGCAATAATAACGAGCGAAATATTCTTACCGGGAGGAAAAACAGATTTTGTGCCCGCAGAATCGCTGCCTGATTACTTAAGGCGGAAAGACTTGTGTTGGATGTATTGGCAGTTGGAGGAATCGTTTCCTCTGGGTCACTCAGGAAAAACTGCGAAGAAAATGTTTTTTCAATGACTTAGTGCACAGGAGATTAAAGCGTTAGCAGGTCGGCGCTAAATTATTAATGGCTATGTTCCTTCTGCACGGTAAGCAGGATTATGTGGGCAATCTGCTGTCTGTATTTCCAATGCTAGTAGCTTCATCTTCTCCTGTTTGAAGCTTTGAGAATTTCTATTAAATAAGCAAGTAACTATTGATTGTTGTGCTCCACGCTTCTAGTGAATTTCTAGACCTACACGACTGATATTAAAGAAAACAGAAACACCTCTGTGAAATATTGAATCAAAAATGTACAAAGCACAGGGCAGAGGGCTTGGTTAGAATTATGCCTGAAGCTGACAACACCTTGCACACACACATTCAACTCTCTACCAAGAAATCGGAGCCTTCGGATTTTTTTTTAATTTTTAATTTTTTTTTGCACCGTCTTCATCATCGTGCTTCAAACATTAACTGGGTCTGTGGACTTCTTGATTCTAAGAAATTGTGTGGGCCAAATGCAGTAATGGGTGTGGGCACTTGTGTGTATTATTCGTGAGTGCTTGGCAGTTCAGGATCATGAGGGATAAGAAGTTGGGAGGTGGATGCTCTGAGTAAGGACTGCTGGAAAGGCGTCCTACTTTAAAAGAAAAGTAACCATGAGAAAACGAAGATGGTTAGCTCTCATCAAGATACCGGCTCTCTCGTAAAGGCTATGGGATCTCAGGGCTGGAATCAATATGAGCCGCTAACAATGCATGCAGAGACCCCCCCCGTGTGGAAGGGCCACGCACACAGCCAAGGGCAGAGGGTGACAGCGGGCAGCCCCGGCCTTCACGTCACTGCCCACACGGCTCCCCCTTCTGAGGTCAAGACGGTGACGGCCACTGATACTAGAGAAATGTTCACGAGGGCTGCCTGCCTGAGGCTGGAAAAATTCAGGGTGCACCGAGGTGCGCCCCTGTTGGGGATGGAGTGTGCATCAGGGAAAACAAGAACGTGGAGAACATGCTCTGTGACGTAAGTCAGACCCAAGAACATGAACATCGTGCAATCACAGGTCCAGGAGGGGTCTAGACCAGGCAAATGCCCAGGAGGGAGAATGGAGGTTACCAGGTGCTGGGGGAGCAGGCGGTGGGCAGTTAGTGGTTCACGGGCACGGAGTTTCTGTCTGGGATGCTGAAAAAGTTCTAGGAGCTGTCGTGGTGGGTGCACGACAGTGTGAACGTACTCAGTGCTACTCAGCTGCACACTGCAAGACGGTTAGAACGATAAATCTTACGTTATGCATATTTTACCCAAGAGAAAACTAAGAAACATTAAAAACAGAAAAAAAGGAAGAAAAGGAAAGCATTTTGCTTTATTCCGAAGAGAACACTTAAAAATCACAAGAGCTTCTTTGCAAGAGGACCTGAGTGAGGCTATGACTTTCAAAGGAAACGTTTTTTGGACAGAAAATTGAATTTTCTTCCCAGTGACTTGAGCAAAGCAAGCAGCTCTCCCCCAGCACACACACAACAAAAGAGCTGCTCTTCCTTTAAAATGTGAGTCCAAGGTCTGGATCAGCCTTCACTGGGTTAACAAGTGCTAAAAAATAGCAAAACCACAACTTGGGAGAGGGGCTCAGTCAGTCTAGAAATTGTGTTCCCAAAGGAAGCACTGAACAAATTTAAAAAGCTATGCTGAGGGCGCCTGAGTGGCTCAGTCGATTAAGCATCTGCCTTCTGCTCAGGTCATGATTCCAGGGTCCTGGGATCGAGTCCTGCATCAGGCTCCCTGCTCTGCGGGGAGCCTGCTCCTCCCTCTGCTTCTCTTCCTCTCTCTCAGTCTCTCGTGAATTAACAAATAAAATCTTGAAAAAAAAAAAGCTATGCTGAATTAAACAGAAACCTCTCCAGGATGGGGGTTGAAGCAGAGTTAGGAAAAAAGGCAAAGAAATCACACCGAGAGCACTTGATGGTGCCCAGGTAAAGACTGGAGGACACCCATGTCCCAGCGGAAGGGGTCTTCTTGCCCGAGCGTGAGTGGGTGACCCTGGGGGCTCACTTCCCCTGCACAGCACCCATTGGTGCTCAGCCTCTGAATGCTGCATCAGTGTGGCCCATGACATGGGACGCTGTGTCTGCCTCCTGCAATCGTAACTTAGGGGACAGGGGTCCGAGTAGCTAGAGGGCATTCCTCTATAAATCTTCAGATGTGGGCAAAGACCGCACCTTGGTGAACAAGTCCTTCCCCTTCTGTGTTTAAAAAGAAATTGTAAGAAAGATTTACAACCAGGGAAAACGATTTCCTTTCCTTACCTAATGTTGGCTTTCATACCGTTTTATGATGTTTCCTTGAAATCATAAATATGACAGCAGCATCTGTATGGAAAAGACCCACTAATTTCACGGCACCAGATATCAATACAAATGATGGACAGAAAAAGGTCATCTGTCTTCCTCCTTGCCCCCAGCCTCTGCTTCAGGAGTCGGCTCAGGACGTGGAACAAAGCCTCACTTCATTTTTCTCTCAAGGGTCATCCATCATACTTCTAATGTGTGTCCCACAGACTTCTCTACCTCAGTTGGCAACAAACTCCATTCTTTGTGAGAAAGGAAAACAATTTTGGGAGATGTATTTCTGCTCCTGAGGATGTAATTTTTTCTCCAAAGGAAACACAGTTTATATATAATATATATATATATAAAATCTTCTCCTAAATGCTCAGCTCCTCAACCACTTACAGACAGTGACCGGCCCTCATTCACACCAAATATTCCCTATGAAATGCAATCAGATCTGTTTTCCATGTAGGTTCTGTCTCTAAAACATTAGGTGATGAATCCTGGTTTTATCAGGCCAAGGGCACCCCCCGTTCCAGGACTACTTAAGATGGATTTCTAGGTGGAGTGAAGCAGATGAAGAGGCCATCCCATCTCTTGCTTCCCGTTGGCGTCAGCTTTACCTGAATCTCCATGTGTATCAGAAGGAACAGCACGCTCTACGGAGTAAAGGTAGGACAGATGCCAAGAAAACATCCGAGGGCCCCTTCAGCCTAGCCCCTTCACTCCTTCTTAATACCAATGTCTGCTCTCAGTCGAGTCCCAGATGCCCCAGGTCTCCCCTCTTCCTCACCTCTCCTCCCGCTCTGGTGAACTCTTTCTACCCATCCTCTAGAACTCAGTGCAGCTGGCCCTGAGCTCCTTCCTTGCCACCTCTCCACACGTCTCTGTCTCCGGCTCCGAGACTCATGATGGGTTTATCCAGGTGCCAGTCTCCTGGACTTCCCTGTGAACTCCCGGAGGCAGGGACCAGGCTTTGGGTTCTAGCATCTAGCAATGCACCAGGCACATATTTATGCCCAATAGATCTTTTTATGCCAAAGGAAAGCTAATTGGCAAAAACTATGTCTTTATTATTTAATTTCTACCTCCTGCTTCTGGAAGGCAAGGACTGTACATGATACTCTGTAGTTCCAACAACCAGTAAAACATCCAAAATATGAAGTATCTTCACGCCTTATGGTTGATGGTGATAATGTCAGAATAATAGGGATGCATTGAAATGTGCGTGGATTAGCTGCACGTCTGTTTTGAAGGTATACCTGTGATGGTCACACCGGTAGAGGAAGAGAGACCACTGGTTAAATATTCACAAACGACCTGGTTCTGTCCTAAGCGTGGTAGCGAGAGGGGAGTGAACGGAACAAAGACCAGACTTTGCCGGGGCTCGGAGTCTCCCGGCGGGAGACTGTAAGACTCCCACAGCTCCCTCCAGGAATTTCTTTCATGTTTTCCACCAAAGCTTTGCTCTGGTTAGTTTGACTTCCCTCTGATAACCGTAAACACCCCCCAAGATATATGTTAGCAATTCCCGTCCAAGCATATGGCCCACAGATCCACATCTGAAGAGTCTCGCAACTATGATTTTACTAGACAGTAGTAAATAACCTTGCCTAGCAAGCAGCCAGCCCTTCAAGGTCCTGGAAGCCTTGCTTCCAAATTCCTTGGGATTTACACTATCCCTAAGCCCCACTAACTACAAAGTCTAGAATCGGTCCCTCCTCACGACCCTGGAGTAGTTACTCTTGCCCACAGGTCCTGTCCCCCTGCTATAGTAAAGGTACCTTTTTGCACCAAAAATGTTTCAAGAATTCTTTCTCCGTCATTCGCTCCTGGACCCAGACGTGGACATGGAGTCCGTGGACGTTTAATGAACACCCTCGAAAATCGCACAGCTGGAGAAGTGGGCAGCTGATGTCTGAGATCGGGCCTTTTAGACTCCAGAGCAGGACGCCTCTCCCACTGCACTCCCTGTACCTAGATGGTTCTGTGATCTTTGATGATTGCCCTGCTGACATTTAATGTCATCTCCGTAGCCAGCAGGGAGGTGGGAAGCCGCTGGTGCAGCAGGTGGAGGGTGAATTGAATAGGCGATAACTGGTGTCACCTCGGAGCTACGGTCAAGGTTGGAAAATCCCACCGAGTCCGGCACGGGAAGCCACGAGGGCCGTGCTGGCGGAAGCCCTGACTCACCATGTTGAACACGGCCATGGTCAGAATGATGGCCGTGGTGAGGACGGTGAGGGAGACCCGCGGCCAGGGCCGGTCTGCAATGATGCCCGACGACTTCAACAGCCACAGGAGAGAGACCGAGGCCTTCTTGCTGCATTGCTGGGAGGAGACAGAAAAGGAAATGCATTGCTGGTTTATGTACTCTCTCGAGTTTCTTCGTGATGTTTAAAACGACCAGAGGCCTCAGTATTCTTCACAGAGCAAACGAGCAGGCTCTGCTCCCCACCCCCCCACCCCGGAGGCCCAGACCAGGTCATAAACCTTATTAAAATTATGTTGGCATCATTGTTACAAATAAAGAACAAATTAGTTAAATTTCTATGATAAATGTAGAACGTGCTTGTATGTCCTTTTAAATAAACCGGAAACTATGTTCTTTAAAAAAATCTCTGGTGAAGGAAAAATGTGTCAGTTAATTATACCAAGTTGGGGGATGCGTTGGGTCTCAGATCACAGCAATGCTAAAGCGATTATCATCCCTCAGCCAATCCATGCTGAACACAGGGGGGCAGGTAGCTCGTCCCAAGAATACAAGTGGACCCCAAAGCAGACTGATGCCCGTAGCTCCACAAAACACCCACTGCTCTCGGACGTGTGTCCTGCTGATGGCTTTACCTCATCCGGCCCTGTGGGGGCTTCTTTCCACTTGGAGAGGCTCTCGTCCAAATTTTTAATTGTGTGAAAAACACAGAACAGAACACTCTCCCTCTTTATTTTTTTAAAAAGACTTTTTATTTATTCATTTGGGAGAAGCAGAGAGAGACAGAGAGAGAGAGAGAGCATAAGCACAGGGGGAGAACAGAGGGAGAGGGGGGAGCAGACTCCCCGCCGAGCAGGGAGCCCGATGCGGGGCTCGATCCCAGGACCCTGGGATCACGACCTGAGGCGAAGGCAGACGCGTAAGCGACTGAGCCACTCAGGCTCAGGTCATGAATGACTGAAGTCATTCATCTGCGGATGGACAGTGTGGCTTCTGGCTTGTGGCTCTTGCTAGTAATGTGGCCGTGAGCATGGATGTTGAAGAAGCTCTTTGGATACGAGACGGAACTGAGGTATTGACAGGATGGAACGTTCCCTCAGCATCTTCTGTGGACCAGATGCTGTTCTGTGGGATTTCAAGGGATGAGCTCACTTCATCCTGAGGGCCGCCTTTCCGGGGAGGGCCACTGTGATGCAGACCTTCGTCCAGGTGGTGGGGGAACAGAGGCGGGGAGAGTTCTGGGGGGTGGGTGACACACGGCCTGTGCCCGGCGCTACCGTGCATGTTCACAGAGGTCCCTGACAGGACAAGCAGGTACGTAAGGCTTCTGCAGGGATCTACATTTTCACCTTCATGTGAAAGGGGCTATGGCCCTACGACTATGTGTCTTGAAAACAAAAAGAAGGTTGATTTCAAAAATTTTAAGACAAGGCCAACATCCTGTACTTTTCTGACTTGTACTAAGTTAATATGACAGTAAGACAGGTGTGACATCCCTAAAACCCAAACAGCGAATCCCCCTGAGAACAAACAGCACCTTTATTTCTCTCCCTCTTTCACATCATCTTTCTGCTTGATTCTTAAAAACATGTCAGCTTTAGTCTTTTTTTTTTTTTTAACATATAATGTATTATTTGTTTTAGGGGCACAGGTCTGTGAATCATCAGTCTTACATAATTCACAGCGCTCACCATAGCACATACCCTCCCCAGTGTCCATCACCCAGCCA